AAGTTACAAGGATTCATGAATACACGCCTGCAGAAAATTCTCCAGACTTTTACAGACAGAGAAAGATCAAAATCCTTATATATATATATATATATATATATAAAACTCGGCAGGCATTATTCTCAAAGGATACGCAGATTGTGTTTTCTAAAAGAAAGATAAGCAATATATATATATATAAAACTCGGCAGGCACTATTCTCAAAGGATACGCAGACTGTGTTTTCTAAAAGAAAGATAAGCAGGAAACAAGGAGTCGCTGAAATGGAAAATCACACTCACCATCACAGTTTGAAAAGCAGTTAGATTGGAAAAAGGAGGTATGACGCCCCATCAAAATACAGGGAAGTGACTATTGAGGGCCTAACTTCCAGAAAATGGATAGAACTCCCTTTCCTTTTCTTTTAAAACTAAAGATCTTTTGAGATTGTTTGCCGCCCATTATTAAAAGAATGAAAACTCCCGCTCCCAAAAGCATCTCTTATAAATACAGGAGAGAGTGAACAGAGCAACACACAATGAACACAACCAAAAAAATCAGTCAAAAGACAAACACTCAAAATGATCACTTGATCTCAGAGAACCCTGACTAAGCAGAACAGGTGCCACAGCACAGTTCCAGCTCAAATTCAGTCACTTCTGCCCCTTTCAGACTGAAGAAGTCCTAGGTCTGCCCATCCAGAAGCCTTCCAGGGCTTGAAATAGATTAAAGCTGTGCTAGACTCAAGCTTTGGTATCGATTTGCAGCTGAAGCCTAGCAATTGAAGTTGTCAAAAGTCCAGTCCAGTACAGGCATATCCAGTCCAGCCCGGATCAGAAGCATCTGCCCAGGCATAAATGGAAGCACGGCCCTCTTTTTGTCTTTTTATAGTCAGGTTTTCCCTTTTGAGCTTTGTAAAAGGGAGTTTTGCCTAAAAGCGGTTCACTCTGTCATCATTTATTCTGGCCAGAACTGCCAGTTTTGTACTGTGAAAAATTGTGAAGTCCTCACCAGTCTGAGGCAAGAAAAGAACTTACTTGGGAGATATTCCTCACCCAAATTCACAATCGCTTGTTCAAAACTCAGTAACTTGGGGCGCAAGTTATCTATTTTTAAATAAGTCTGCTAGGATTATTGCTAGCAGTGGCACGCTCGCACACTAAAGAAAGTTGACTTGCTGACCAGTCAATGGTTCTCAAGACAATGGGGAACTTTACCCTACCGTCACAGGAGACAAATCAAAACGGGTGAACAGTATCCACCTCCTACTCTTAATTCCTGGAACCACAATCACAATACAACAATCATGTTATATTCGTACAAAATCTTTCCTTATGCCTCCAATAAGGGCCCTATCCCATTCGGGAATTCATAGTCATGTCACGTAATTTACGGCAACATGAGATTAGATTTCGACGTGGATGAATTTCGGCAGCATCTCGATACAATTCTTGAGGTGTACCGTAGGTATAAAATACATATGTACCACCCGAAGAACGTACCGAGATGACACCGAAATCTCCACAGTCGAAACCTAATCCTGTAGCCGAAAATTACGTGACATGACTATGCATTTCCAAACTATCCAAATAATGGGACAATTCAAGAATTAATTGGACAACAATCATGCTTTCGCATCCATGCGCGACATCCAACTAACCTCGAACGAGAACTAAGTTTAAAAAAAATATATATGTACAAAGTTAATTGAAATTAACTTCGTACATCAACGTGCATAATTTAACAACATAATATAAATATAATTTCACAAAAAAATATAAACATAAAGTAATTAAATTTATATTTTTAAAATATAAAACGAAGAAAATACCTTCTTCAATCGTTCTCCACCAATCGTTAATCACATATAATATCCATATAGACAACGAAATTAATGGCGTTAGTATGAATTTACATTAATAATTTTACACTAACGACAAAAAATACTTACTCAACACACGTAGCAGAGGCAGGAAATGAAATTTAATCTGCGTAGTTGAACTTTGCTGTTTGAGAAAGACAGAGATAGAGAGAGAGAGAGAGGGGCAGAGGTAGAGGTAGAGTCAAATTGTTTTTGTAGTTTGCCTCTGCAATGGCTGAAACTGAATCTGTATTGGACGATGGTTTTTGTGCGACGAACATGTTGATTTGTCGCGCAAACCTCTGTCGTGCAAAGCTCAAAATCTTCGCGCAAAAGCCTATTTTCCGACGCGCATGTATGTGCGACATCAAACTTTGCGCGACAAAGGTACAAAGTTTCGTCGCTCAAGATTTTGTCTTGCAAATGCTCCCTGCCGTCGCGCAAAACACTAGTTTGACGCGCATAGACCTGCCGACACCCACCTTACGCGACTAATATTCTCCTTCGTCTTGCAATAATTTGGCTCCAAATGCTGTAAGCGGTGTTTTTTTTAGCGCGTTTTTCTTGCGCAACGACTTCGTATCTTGTCGCGCTAAGTGCTCTTGCGCGACAAAATCCTCGTTCCACAAGTTTTGCCTCCAAATAAAATGTTCCTGATTTTTTTTCCATAACTTTATGCGATGCTTACTTATTGTGTCGCGCAAACTCTTTTTGCGCGACAAAAATCATCGTCACGCAAGGTTACAAATATAAAATTATTATCCTTAGTAGTTTGTGCGACGCATGATATTGTTCATCGCGCAACGCAAAGTTTCATCGCACAAACTGTAAAACGTAGTAGTGGTAGTAGAAGAGAGGTGATCAGTAAATATGGTACAAATAAAATAAAAAAACCAAAAAAATCTGAATTCAAATATTGTGCTAGAATTAACCGTCAGAAGAATCTAGAAATAAGTAATAGTATAAAATTTATATAATTTGTATAAATTTTTTAAAAACACTTTTTGTAATTGTGCTTGTAAAAGTATTGTGACTGTATGTAATTGAAAATACAAAGTGTTATCAAATGTACCAAAACAAACATTTGAATATTTTTCTGCTGTGAATGTATCTTCCTGTCTTTTTTTTTTTTTTTTGGGTACGTATTATGTGGATCCCCAATGCTAGCAACCTTCTCTCCTACCTTCTCTTTTGGACCTTCTCCATTTTCCTCATGACATGTGTCACTTCCCATACACTTAAAGTAATGACATTAATACATCAAACAAACCACCTTTTGTTTTCCAAGTTTATCCTTATTAAATGTTTTGTCCTTCAATTTCTCCAATTTTTTTTACAACTCTCTTACCATATGTAAAAAATGAAAAATGAAACATTTTCTGTTTTTTTTATAAAAGAAAATGTCTATTTTTTTAAGAGGAAGGAAGTTTTTTTTTTGGTTAAAAAAAAACACAATAATGACCTAAAAAAAAATCCACAAAAAAGATATATCCTTTTTTTATATAGACAAAAGACGTCCTTCTAAGGAAGTTTGTTTTAAAAGGAAGTTCATTGATTGCATTTTCAAACCATTAATTCGGTAAGTCTGATTATTGATTATTTTTTTGTTTTTTCTAAACCATTAGTTAGGTAAGTCTTATTTGTTGGAGTCTTTCAGAAAAGAAAAAAAAAAAACTAATGTTTTTTCTTATTTAAGTTTTTAACAAGGTGATAAGAAATTTGTAACAAATTTGGATAATAAATTTAAGGAAACATTAAAATCAATACAAAAAATAAGGGTAAATTTGGAAACAAATGTTACCTTATATGATGCATTAATTACATTGTTTTTAATGTAAGAAAAGTGACACATGTCATGAGGAAAATAGAGGAGGTCTAAAAGAGAAGGTTGGAGAGAAAGTTGCTAGCATTTCCCTATGTGGAAATATAGAAAGGTATAAACGTGTCACTCATATGACATATTTAAACAGCTACTATTCTCTCCCAAAAACAAAAACAACTACTACGATAATAGTAAAGTCGACACTAGAACGACGACGTATTGAGCAGATGACCATTTCTTTCGTGTGAGAGGTGGAGCCCAAACCCTCTTTTATCGTATTGCCGATTGATGGGCCCAATTAGTTGCCACCTCTCAACCTTTGGGTCAGGATCTAGTGAGAACGCTTATGTGAGAACATAACATCAAAACCCGTTGGATCCAATCTAACGGCTGTATGAAAAGCAATTGTAAGTGTAAGTGTTGTATTAGAACGAGGTCTTCTTCCCTCTTCTCCCTCCAAAACGTCCCCTCCAAAACAGAAGTCCCCTCCAAACCAGCTGTTCGCTCAGCTCCCTCCAAAACGTCCCCTCC